AGGACGGATCTGGGGTTGGATATTCCCAAGGTTTAGGAAGGATCTGGGATTCGATATTCCCAAAGTTTAAGAAGGATCTGGGATTGGATATTCCCAAACTTTAGGATGGATCTGGGATTGGATATTCCCAGGGAATAGGAAGGATCTGGGATTGGATATTCCCAGGGTTTAGGAAGGATCTGGGGTTGGATATTCCCAAGGTTTTGGGATTGGATATTCCCAGGGAATAGGAACCATCTGGGATTGGATATTCCCAAATTTTAAGAAGGATCTGGGATTGGATATTCCCAAACTTTAGGAAGGATCTGGGATTGGATATTCCCAAGGTTTTGGGATTGGATATTCCCAGGGTTTAGGAAGGATCTGGGATTGGATATTCCCAAATTTTAGGAAGGATCTGGGCTTGGATATTCCCAAATTTTAGGACGGATCTGGGATTGGATATTCCCAGGGAATAGGAGGGATCTGGGATTGAATATTCCCAGGGTTTAGGAAGGATCTGGGATTGCATATTCCCGGGGTTTGGGAGGGATCTGGGACTGGATATTCCCAAATTTTCTGATTGGATATTCCCAGGGAATAGGAACCATCTGGGCCTGGATATCCCCAAACTTCCCGAGCCGCCCGCACTCGGAATCTTCCCAACCCGCCCTTCAAACCTTCCCAATCCACCATCAGAATATTCCCAGTTTGGGCTCCCCCCATTCCCAGGGATATTTTTCCCCTTCCCAGGGATATTTTGCTCCTTCCCGCCCCTCATTCCCGAGGATTTTTCCCGCGGAATTCCCGGCTCACCTCCCCGCATCCGCTGAGAACGTATCCCATCTCGTTGGCGTTAAAATGGAAGTGGGGTTGTCCAAGGCCATTCCCGAAAATCCTCAGGAGCGCCAACGTCAGCGTGTTGTCATGCTGGAAAACAAATCCCCAAAAAATCATGGAAAAGCTCAGGAATTCTGGGAATAACCCGGAATTCCCGGGAGTCGTTACCTGGTGCAGGGACTCGCTGAAGATCCGTTGGTTGGGGGTCAAGCCGGCGCCGTTCCGGCGGTACCGGGCCCATCGGAATGTGCCGCCCGGGAAGGGGAATTCCGGGGAGCCTGGGAAAAGTCGAGGGATGAGGGGCGGGAGGTTGGGAAAGGGTGGGAATTCCGGGGGTTATCCCGGAGTTTGGGAATGCTGGGTGGTCGCCCGGGTGGATTCGGGCGGGAACGGGCGGGAAAATTGGGAATATCCAACCCCAGAGCCTTCCTAAACTTTGGGAATATTCAATCCCAGATCCTTCTTAAAATTTGGGAATATCCAATCCCAGATCCTTCCTAAACTTTGGGAATATCCAATCCCAGATCCTTCCTAAACTTTGGGAATATCCAAGCCCAGATCCTTCCTAAATCCTGGGAATATCCAACCCCAGATCCTTCCTAAAGACTGGGAATATCCCATCCCAAAAACCTGGGAATATCCAATCCCAGATCCTTCCTAAAACCTGGGAATATCCAATCCCAAAACCCTGGGAATATTCAATCCCAGATCCTTCCTAAACTTTGGGAATATCCAATCCCAGATCCTTCCTAAACTTTGGGAATATCCAATCCCAGATCCTTCCTAAACTTTGGGAATATCCAATCCCAGATCTTTCCTAAACTTTGGGAATATTCAATCCCAGATCCTTCTTAAAATTTGGGAATATTCAATCCCAGATCCTTCCTAAACCCTGGGAATATCCAATCCCAGATCCTTCCTAAAGACTGGGAATATCCCATCCCAAAAACCTGGGAATATTCAATCCCAGATCCTTCCTAAATCCTGGGAATATCCAACCCCAGATCCTTCCTAAAATTTGGGAATATTCAATCCCAGATCCTTCCTAAATCCTGGGAATATCCAACCCCAGATCCTTCCTAAAATTTGGGAATATTCAATCCCAGATCCTTCCTAAATCCTGGTAATATCCAATCCCAGATCCTTCTTAAAATTTGGGAATATCCAATCCCAGATCCTTCT